TGAGTCCCAGCAGCCCCCTTGGTAAGTGCGGGCAGTAGCTGCCTTGCAGTGTTTGCGTGGAAAGCGAAGCTGGCGTGGCTTTGTCAGACACAGGCCCTGAGTAAGCGGCCCCACTGCGATGCCGCTGTATGTTCCCTGCACATGCTCTCGGTCTGGACAGGAAAATAAGTCTAGGGGGGAGAAACAAATAGGAAGCAGAACGCAGAAGAGGCTCAAAGACACGCAGCCTTAGCAAGCGCCTGCGGACGCCGCTCCACGGGGCCTGTGTGGGGTCAGGGCGGATGCACACAGCTGTGGGCTGGGGACGACGAGACTGTCGGAAGCAGCCCGGGTTCGGATCCCACGACGGGCCAGCTCTGATCCAGGTCTGCAGGTTCCGTCTCATGATGACAAGAGCAAGGAGGGTGTCGTCACGGGGTCATGCTTTAAGTCCGTCCAGGTATGACCGCTGGCCCAGTGGCAGTGTCTGACGCCCGCTGTGGCTTCCCAGGGACTGGAGGGCACGCGGGCGCCACACTGAGCGGAACAGAGCAGCGGTCCTTTTTCTCTTTTGTTTTTTTGAAGAAAAAGGAGAAGGAGGAAGAACCGTTTTTTTCTTTGTTTGTTTTTACCACTTGATAAAACCAAGTATAAATTAAAATGCAAGAAGTCCGTACTTCTCTAAATCAGCCGGGAACCGTGTGCCTGCCAAATGTCATCGTTTCAAGTCAGTTAATATCAGGATTATCAGATCTCGGCAGGATCTTGAGTTTCATTTCCAAACCTTAAAACATCGCTGTATTTCCAGCTGTTCACTGTTTGGCTTGGATCCTGAGCGGTAGTTTCCCTTTTCTAAAACGGGGAGAGATGTGCAGTTTTGGAGGCCGTGACGTTATGGTGGCAAACCCGGAGCGGCTGGCGGGCCTGAGCCCGACGGAAAGCCCTGCCCGTACAGTGGTGCAACCTGCAGAGATGTTTGTAGACCAGAAGAGGGTTTATCATGTCGAGAGGTGAACTCGCTCCTTTCCTTCCCTGCCAGCGTCAAGCTGCCAACGGCTGCAAAAATGCCACTTCATACTGTCGGGTTTCCAGTCGGATTAGGAAGAAAATGACTAGAATTTGGTGTTGTAGAGTCCAGCCTCTTCACAAAAGTCGTTCTCTAGAAGTTGACAATTTTTATAGATATTTATATTTGGTGATGTTAATAGTTGATTACCATGCATCGTATATTAGACACATAATGCATTTCCTACAAATATATTGTTTTGATTTTTAAACAACTTGGCTCAAGAGCTATCCCTAAAACAGTTGCTCATTCTTATTTTTTTTCCCTTATACGGCCATAACTTCCGTCTTCCCTAACACTCCTCCAAACCCAAGCAATTAGAAAACAAAATTCACGAGGTATCAGCTAATCAGTGTAAGGATTCGTGTCCTGCCTTGGTGGCCATTCCGCATGGCAGCTAGCTGCTGGATGCTTTGTTTCCACCCAGTAAATGATTAGTACTACACACTGGCTGGAGACCTGGTTCCAGCTGAGTTATCTGAGACTGCGCTTGCTTCATTCTGTCTTCCACACCCTCCTGTTCAACAGTCAGCAATATGCATGTTTGGATTTGTTTTTGTTTTTTTTTTTTTTGAGACAGAGTCTCACTTTGTTGCCAGGCTAGGAGTGAGTGCCGTGGCGTCAGCCTAGCTCACAAGCAACCTCAATCTATGGGCTCAGCGATCCTACTGCTCAGTCCTCCCGAGTAAGCTGGGCATACAGGCATGCGCCACATGCCCGCTGATTTTTCTATATTTTATTTAGTTGGTCAATTAATTTATTTCTATTTTTGGTAGAGATGGGGTCTCGCTCTGGCTGGTTTCGAACTCCTGACCTCGAGCAATCCGCCCGCCTCGGCCTCCCAAGAGTGCTAGGTTTACCAGGCGTGAGCCACTGCGCCCGGCCTGCATTTGAGTTTTGAAGCGCAGGAGCCTGCGAGCGACAGAGTTAGGACACCAGCAGCAGTGGTCTTGGTGGCTCCATGTCTGGGAGAAGGCAGGCAGGTCTCTGCGTTTCCATGTGGACCTGTGACATATGTTCTGGGCCGTTTCTGCAGCGGACTTTCCTGCACAGAATGAGGGACTACATTGCTCCTTCCATAAGGCCTTCGTAGGGAATCCGCTCGGGCCCCCCACTGAGGGGCTACTCCTGTCTCGGGACACGGCCACCTACGACAGCCTACAACAGGTGTCTGGGAGGCCTGGCAGAGTTGCCGCAGCTATTCCATCACTGGTGACCAAATTACCTCGTCCACAGCTGCAGCCAAAGCAAAGGGCGGGGAAGCTGGAGCCCCTCCCAGGGGCCACCTCAGGCTCTGAAGACAGGGGCACGGGCGGGACTGCGTTCTTGAGTTCCTAAAGATTCAGAGATCAAGACCTCTGGAAGACCATTCTTCACTTCACCCACGATGTTAAGGACTGTCCTCTCCCAGCAACGCAGAGCCCTTTGGGAGGCAGGTGGGGCCGGGGAAGTGGGGTCAGATTTCTGCCTGGGGCCCTCCAAGGGAGGGACTCATGCCCTTCTTTCAGCGTTTCTTGCTCTTTCACCCCGACATCTCCTCCACGTGAGCTTGTTGTCTTCACAGAGTGGAGTTGGGCGGCAGGAAACTTTCCCTTCCCTACCGAGATCCCCACTCAGCAGGCAAACAGGCGTTGGGCTACGAATCTCATTCGGGAATCCCACGGAGGAGTTGGGAAGTGCCCCGGCTCTCTCGGCAAATGCAATAGAAAAACATTCTAAATTTCAAAACAAATAAAATGGCCTGTGTTGCAAGATAACCTCGTTGATTCTTTAAAAAACAAATTCACTAAAACGTATTAAGTCCTGCTGGAGGCACTGCTCTGAGATGGAGAGCAGGATTTCTGTGGCCCAGACCGGGCCTCTTGTCCCTGAATGTGTGGATGGTTGGTGGCGGGGAGGTGGACGTCCCGGTGACGAGCGGAAGGAGAGGACGCTGACACAGACTCGGGGGCACCAGTGCGAACTCAATAGCGAACGGTAGGGGACGGATGAGACTTTTCACCATGGCGCGCAGACTTGCGACGTCGGCTGTAATTCCTTTCTTTGGTTTCGGAAGAATGGTGATCTCTTCTTGCCCTGAAAGTCTTGCATTTGTAAGATGAATCAACTGACCCTTTGCGAAGTAAATGAGCAAAATGGGAACAAAGGGTAAATCCCACGTTTAGTTGTGTATGCAAACGTAACCGCCTCTGCTGACTCACTTCTGTCCAAGTTCTCGTTCAGCGGACAGTAGATATGAGAGGAACTTTCAATCAGGCCAGTTCAGAATAAATCCTATTAGGTTCTCCCCTCCTCCACTATGGACACAGGCATGTAACCTGGAATCGTCTCCAAAATTCCAGGGACCCCATCTAGTCGTCATGGCTTCAGGGAGTGGCACCTGACCACGGCAGCCACTGGCCACGTTGGTGTCTGCTGAGGAGTCCTCTGTGCACATGGGCGCCGGTCGAGTGGAACTCGCACGGTGTCCGTCTCTGCATGCAAGGCCTTTCACGCCCTGCAGCCCTTCAGGGGCCTGTCCCGCACTTAGAAAACCGTTCGGCTACTCCCCACCTGCTCCCACCTCCCAGGAGTGTTCGGGGACCACAAGACTGGCTCCGGGCGTCGGGCCAGCACCCGCGGCAGCCGTCTCACTCGCCAGTGACAAGTCACAAAACTTCTTTAGAACCTACATGGCACCTCGACAGCGGTAGGAAGCGGATACAAATTGGAAACTGAGGCTCAGAAAAATATTTGCAAAGCTACACAATAACAAAAGGGTGGAGCAAGGATTCCAGTTCACTCTGAATGACACGGCAGGTGGCTAATGCCGATCGACTGCTCGGCGTGTTCCCCGCCCTGGGCAGGTATTGGTTTCCTTTTCCCCGTGACCCAGTGAGGCGGACGCTAGCATCACTTGGACGAGGAAACTGAGGCTCGCAGAGCTAATGAGCGGAGCGGGGCTCACAGTCACACACAGCAAGGCGGCAGCGCGTTAGGGCTTGGCGGCAGGAATCTCTCCTTTGTGCCGGGCTCTGTCAGAGCCAGGCTGCCCGACTGTTGAGAGCCTGGCTGCCGCTCGTCCAGCGACAGCAAAGACCGGCCAGCCCCACGCAGCCCGTCCCGCGGCATTTGCACCTGCAGGGCCGTATTTGTGCGGGGTCGAGAACTGCGTGCAAGGCAGTGCCCTGTGCCTGCTGTCTGTGCGTGTGGTGCGCCTGTCCCTTCTCTTGAGCAAGACGACTTTTAGAATGACAGGAAGAAAGCGAAACATGGGCGTAAATCTGTCATGTGATCTCATGGCAGAGCAGATTGCTTGCTCCTGGTCCTAAAAAGAAAAGATTCTTTTCCTTAGTGAAAACAGAAATCCACATAAGAGCTTCTTGGGAAAGTGAAAATAGAGGACTACAAGTTTGGGGTTCAAGTTCTGGCTCCATCATTTTTTTGCAGCGTGACACTGGAGACTCAATTGCTTTGAGTCTTCGTGTCTTCGTCCATAAAGTGAGGTCAACAGTCCTGCGCTGACCTGGTCACAAGGGGTCAAGTGAGAAATCGACAGTGGAGGCGCTTGTGGAGGGATTCCTGTTTTCACTAAGGAAAAGAATCTTTTCTTTCTAGGACCAGGAGCAAGCAATCTGCTCTGCTATGAGTTCACACGACAGATTCACGCCGATGTTTTGCTTTCATCCTGTAATCCTCCTGCCTAAAGTATTGGGATTGTAGGAGTGAGCAACCAGGCCTTGCCTGGAAGAACCCTGTCAGTGAGGAAGAGAAGGGCTGCGATTTTCTGACCCGTTACGAAGCTGGGCCTACGCCGAGGCTTCAGTACTTATCCTACAGAGATGCCCAATCCCTTGCCCTGAAGTTACCACTGCCATCGTGTTCCCTTTGGGGCTCACTCTCAGCTTCCACATCAGAAAACATGCTGTCAGCTCCAGCCACCCCTTTCTTCTCTCCGACTTTGACTCTCGCCTAGATGGAAAGACAACCCCGCGATGCCCGCAGGGCTGACCTACGAGGGCGTCTCCCGGGAGCCGCTGAGGTTCTCGGGCGGGAGTGCGGCCCAGAGCACGGTGCTCCACGCCTTCGACGAGTTCCTGGGCGTTCAGCACAGCGCGGAGAGTGGTAAGTCACACTTTCTTTTTCTTTTTTTCCCTTTGGTTTTTTTTTTAGAAGAAAAGGAGAAGGAGGAAGAACCATTTTTTTCTTTTGTTTTTACCACTTGATAAAACCAAGTAAAAAATTAAAATGCGAAGTCCATACTTCTCTTAAATCAGCCGGGAAACCGTGTGCCTGCCAAATGTCATCGTTTCAAGTCAGTTAATATCAGAATATCAGATCTCGGCAGGATCTTGAGTTTCATTTTCCAAACCTTAAAACATCGCTGTATTTCCAACTGTTCACTGTTTGGCTTGGATCCTGAGGCGGTAGTTTCCCTTTTCTAAAACGGGGGAGAGATGTGCAGTTTTGGAGGCCGTGACGTTATGGTGGCAAACCCGGAGCCAGCTGGCGGGGCCTGAGCCCGACGGGAAAGCCCTGCCCGTACAGTGGTGCAACCTGCAGCCAGATGTTTGTAGACCAGAAGAGGGTTTATCATGTCAGAGGGTGAACTCGCTACTTTCCTTCCCTGCCAGCGTCAAGGCCATTGGCAAACGGCTGCAAAATAGCCACTTCATACTGTCGGGTTTTCCAGTCGGATTAGGAAGAAAATGACTAGAATTTGGTGTCGTAGAGTCCAGCCTCTTCCACAAAAGTCAGTTCTCTAGAAGTATGACAATTTTTCATGGATATTTATATTTGGTGATGTTAATAGTTGATTTACCATGCATCATATTAGACACAAAATGCATTTCCTACAAATATCTATTGTTTTGATTTTTAAACAACTTGGCTTCAATAGCTATTCCTAAAACAGTTGCTCATTCCTTATTTTTTTTCCCCCTTATACGCCCCGTAACTTCCGTCTTCCTAACACTCCCTCTAAACCCAAGGAATTAGGAAACAAAATTCACGAGTGTATTCAGCTAATCAGTGTAAGGATTCGTGTCTGCCTTGGGGCCATTCCGCATGGCAGCTAGCTGCTGGATGCTTTGTCCACCCAGTAAATGATTAGTACTTACACACTGGCTGGGAGACCCTGGTCCCAGCTGAGTTATCTGGATGCGCGCTTGCTTCATTCTGTCTCCACACCTCCCGTCAACAGTCCAGCAATGTGCATGTTGAGGTTTGAAGTCTACCCAGCCGCAGGAGCCTGCAGAGCAGACCAGAGTTAGGACACCACAGCAGTGCTCTGGTGGCTCCATGTCTGGGGAAGCAGGCCAGCGCTTCTCGTTCTCCATGTGGAGCTGTGACATTGTTCTGGGCCGTTTCTTGCAGCGGACTTTCTGCACAGAATGAGGGACTACATGCCTCCTTCCCCATAAGGCCTTCGTAGAGGAAATCCGCTCGGCCCTCCCACTGAGGGGCTACATCCTGCTCTCGGGACACGGCCGCACCTACGGACAGCCTACAACCAGTGTCTGGAGGCCCTGGCCAGAGTTGCGCAGCTATCACCACTCACATGGTGACCAAATACTCGTCACAGCTGCAGCCAAAGCAAAGAGCCGGAAGCTGACCCTCTCCAGGCCACCTCAGGCTCTGGAAGACAGGGGCAGGCGGGACTGCTGTTCTGAGGTTCCTAAAGAGTGTTCAGAGATAAGACCCTGGAGACCATTCTTCCACCCATGTGCTTAAGAGACTGTCCTCTCCCCAGCAACGCAGAGCCCCTTTGGGAGCAGGTGGGCCGGGGAATGGGGGTCAGATTTCTGCCTGGGGCCCTCCAAGGAGGACCTCAGCCTCTCTTCAGGTTTCTGCTCTTTCACACCCGACATTCTCTCCACGGTAGCTGTTGTCTCACAGAGGGCAGTTGTTCGGCAGAAACTTCCCTTCCCTACGATCCCCACTCAGCAGCAAACAGCGGTTGGCTACGATCTCATTCGGAATCCCACGAGAGGGGAAGGTGCCCGCTCTCTCGGGCAAGCAATAGAAAACATTCTAAAATTCAAAACCAAATAAAATGGCCTGTGTGCAGATAACCTATCGATTTCTTTAAAAAACAAAATTCACTTAAAAACGTATTAAGTTCCTGCTGAGCACTGCTCTGAGATGAGGCAGGGATTCTGTGGCCAGACCGGCCTTGTCCCTGAATGTGGGATGGTGGTGGCGGAGGGTTGGAAGGCCCAGGTGACGAGCGGAAGGGAGGACGCTGACAACCAGACTCGGGGGCCACCAGTGCGAACTCCAAATAGCGAACGGTAGGGGACGGATGAGACTTTTCACAATGGCACGCAGACTTGCGGTTCGGCTGTAATTCCTTTCCTTTGGTTTTGGAAGAATGGTGATCTCTTACTTGCCCTGAAATTGCATTGTACGATGAACCAACTGACCCCTTTGCCAAGTAAATGAGCAAAATGGGCGGAACGAGAGGGTAAATCGCGACCCGGGCACGGACACCAGCTGCGATCGCACGTAGTGTGCCATCAAGACGTACGGCCCTCTGCTGACTCACTTCTGTCCAAGTTCTCGTTCAGCGTGACAGTTCACAGATCAGGAGAAAGACTTTAATCAGGCCGAGTTCAGGAATAAATCCTATAGGTTCTCTCCCCCTCCCTCCAACTAGGACACAAGCAATGTAACTTGGAATCGTCTCCAAATTCCAAGGGACCCCATTAGTGTCATGGCTCAGGGAAGTGCACACCTGACCACGGCCACACTGCCACCGTTCTCGGTGTCTGCTGACGGAGTCCTCCTGTGCAATGGGCGCCTGGTCCCGAGTGGAACTCGCACAGTGTCCGTCCTGCCATGCAAAGGCCTTTCCACAGCCTGCAGCCCTCAGGGGCCCTGTCCAGCCACTTAAGACAAACACGTTGCGCCTCCTCCACTGCTCCCACTTCGCAGGAGTGTCCGGGACCACCAAGAGACTCGCTCCGGGCGTCGGGGACCAGCACCGCGGCAGCCGCTTCACTCGCCAGTGCCTTGGGGAAAAGAGAATTTCCGGGCCCCTCGTTTCCACGTCCCACAGAGGCGGAAGAGGGACCATGACCCGGCCATCTTCCGCTCGGGGCACTCAATTCCCGGTTTTGCTCAGGACAGACAGGGGCAGGGCGGTGGCAGCCGCAGGACCGCCAAAGCTGCTTCTTAGAACACTCACCGACGCTCTCTACCCTCTTGTCATCGCTTCCTGCCTCTCTAACCGAAGAGAAGGAATCTCTTCCCAGCCTGGGTGGGGCCAAGGAAAACCCACTTGGGGTCCCGACAGCGTCCCGCGCCGTATGCGTGTTGTTCTCAGGTCAGAGTCTCAGCTCAACAGCGCGGGCCCTGCCGCCGCCAGAAAGCCTTTCTCTCCACTGCTGTCACTCTGTCTTACTTTTTGAAAAACTTCTATTTTGAATTAAAAAAGACAGCACGGACATATTTCGTTTGCCTCTGATTCGCTCTGGGCAAGCAAGAAACGCCAGAACTCTGTCTAGACCGCCGGGCTGCGCGTGTGCTGGGGTGCCAGACCGCGGCGCCGGCGGGGAAGGGCAGGTGCAAGGCGCCCAGACGCTGTCCCTTCCGGCGCCGCCGTTCTCCAGGTGAAGGCGCGTGACCTGTAGAACAGGTGGCCTCCGAATTTGACTCGCCCGTGTCCTTTCTAACGGCGTGGCTTCCGATCAGTCTCAGGAAGTCGCCAACTCCCAGTTCCTATTTCCTTACAAACACCAGAGCGCCCAAGGGCCTAGGAGTTAGCCACACGAATACACAGACAGGACTAGCGCCTGGCACAGGGGGAAATCCGCAGACGTTTATTTGGGGTGAAGGCCCGGGGCGGTCGGAGCACACAGTGCAGACTTCCGCTCACAGGAGGCAACCTGTCGCTTCTGCAAGCCCCACAGATTTCGTGGAGTCTCCAGGGCAGATCACACCACACCGCCTACGGTTTGTGGACGCGGGAAGTGGAAACCGACGCAAGCGTGGCTGAAGCGATGGAAAGCCTGGGCTTGTGTTCAGTCGGACACCTGCGTACCCGCAATCGTGGTTGCCGCTCCTTTCAGAGCTCAGTTTACTTAATTGTGAGAGGAGGATTTCGTAGTTGTTGGTGCGACAACGAAATGTGGTTAGCCATGCCGTCATTTCTGCGCCCCTGACCCCGGGGGCCGCTGCCTGGCGCGTCCTAAGACCCGCACCAGAAGGTTGGACTGGCTGTTTGCTCCCTGTCCTTGGGGAAGAACAGGGATAACATGCCCCAAACAAGCAAAGGAGACCAGATCGAGTCCTGGATTTTTACTTGAATCATGTAGTCCTCTGTGGGGAGTAATGACAAGGAGCTCTTTGGGACTTAACGAAGGCAATGCCACCTGTCCTTCAGGCTTCTACAATCTAGACCTGCACTCAGTGAAGCCCCTGTTTGTCCTTCAGAGTGACACAAAGCATCACCTTAACTGGTCAGCTTTCAACAGGGCCAAGTTCACCTCAAAGAGACCACAGAACTGGCACAGAATTTCCAATAAATATTGAAAAAAAATAGAAGAACTGGGTAGATTAAGTGGAGTAAGAGAAGAAGTATACAAAATTTGGCCTTCCAAAGACTTCAAAATATGGTTTGTTTGTTGTCCGTTAAATCTTACACCACCGGAGAGAATGACAGCATGAAGGCTGTATGTTTTCCCTAAAAGAAAAGGGTGAACCGATGAACTAGTTATGTGCCAGGTGATTCTTGGGTAGGGAGTCTATTCTCCAGCTTATGCCATAATGGCGAAAGTAAAGTTTCCAGTACAGAAGAGAACACAGTTTCTCCAAGATTTCCTAGGAATGAAGTATATGCATTTCAGAAAAAAAAAAAAACACCAAAAACAACTAATGATGGAAATATGTTTTTATTATTATGGGGGATGCTTCTTGCAAGCTTGAAGAAATAGCACAGTGAGATTCAAGCTCAACATACCTAGTGTAGACATTTGCTTAAGTAAAAGTTGGTTTATGAATACCTTCTTACCATTTCTGAGTCCACAGCAGCCCCCTTGGTAAGTGCGGGCAGTAGCTCCTTGCAGTGTTGCGTGGAAGCGAAGCTGGCGTGGCTTTGTCAGACACAGGCCCTGAGTAACGCCCCACTGCGATGCCGCTGTATGTTCCCTGCACATGCTCTCGGTCTGGACAGGAAATAAACCTAGGGGGGAGAACACAAATAGGAAACAGAACGCAGAAAGGCCTCAAAGACACGCAGCCTTACAAGCGCCCGTGGACGCCGCTCGCGGGCCTGTGTGGGGTCAGGGCGGATGCACACAGCTGTGGGCTGGGGACGACGAGACTGTCGGAAGCAGCCCGGTTCGGATCCCACGACGGGCCCGCTCTCGTCACCGCTCTGCAGGTTCCGTCTCATGATGACAAGAGCAAGGAGGTGTCGTCACGGGGTCATGCTTTAAGTCCGTCCAGGTATGACCGCTGGCCCAGTGGCAGTGCTCTGACGCCCCGCTGTGGCTTCCCAGGGACTGGAGGGCACGCGGGCGCCACACTGAGCGGAACAGAGCAGCGGTCTGCAAGCGCTTGCCTTCAGGGGACGGTGTCCTCCGGCGGAGGAGAGGACAGTGCACGGTTTCTTCCACCCCAGGGGAGTTTGTGTCTTCAGTTGCTGTAGGTCAGTCCTACAAGTAGACGGCCTATGTGTCGAATTCGAAGACTCACCAAATTCGTGGTGACATACTGATCCCTCCTTCAATGGCTTTGTAAACATTTGAGATTCCTTACTTAGAGCCTGTATCATTAATAATTAGGGTTCACCAGAGAACCAGAACGAATACAGGACGCTTGCGTGTGTGTGTGTGTGTGTGTGTGTGTGTGTGAGATTCCTCAGTAGCAGGAGGGGATGGGTTCCAGGACCCTTTGGATTCCCAAATCCACAAATGCTGAAGTCCCTTTTATAAAATGACACAGTGTTTGCCTATAACCCACGCACATCCTCCTGGGGACTTTAAATCATGTCTAGGTTGCTTAGAATACCTCAAACAATGTAAATGCTATGTAAATAGTTGTTACAATGTACTTTTAAATTTATATTATTTTTTATTTTTGTACTGTTATTTTTACCCCAAAATATTTCCAACCCATGCTTGGTTGAATCTGTGGATGTGGAACCTGCAGATATGGAGGACTGTGTGCATGTGTGCGTGAGTGTGTGTGCATGTGTGTGTGTGCATGTGTGTGTGCATGCGTGCATGTGTGCATGTGTGCGTGAGTGTGCGTGTGTGTGCATGTGTGTGCGTGCCGTGAGTGTGCGTGTGTGTGCATGTGCGTGTGTGCACTCGTGCGTGTGTGCATGTGTGCACGTGTGCATGTGTGCACGCGTGTGCGTGTGTGTGCTTGTGTGTGTGCATGCATGTGTGTATGTGTAGAGACAGAGACAGAGAGAGACAGAGATAGAGACAGACAGAGACAGGGAGAGATAGAGACAGAGACAGACAGAGACAGGGAGAGATAGAGACAGAGACAGGGAGAGAGACAGATGGAGATAGAGACAGAAACAGAGAGAGATAGAGACAGAGAGAGACAAAGACAGAGACAGAGACAGCGAGATAGAGAGAATGGAGGCTGGCAGGTCCGAGGCCTGCGGGGTAGGCGGGCAAACTGGAGACGGGGCAGAGCGGCCGTTGCGGTTTGAGCTGAGGACCACCTGCTGGCAGAATTCCTGTTTCCTCCTGGCGCAGGGGAGGCCCCTCTGTGTCCCGCTGAGGCCGCCAGCTGGCGGGAGAGGCCCGCCTGGGTTCTGGAGGGCGTCTGCTTCACTCGGAGCCGCGGATCGGAATGCTAATGCCACTCCGTGAGACTCCCCCACGGAGACGCCCTGAATGGCGTCTGGCCGAGTGTCTGAGCGCTGCGCCCGGCCGGCCGGCGTGGAGCCGACTGCCGCTGGCTCCCGTAGGAAGCACGCAGATGAAGACGGGTTGCGGAATCCCACACGTTCGCTCCCCACACTCTGTTACAGAAGAGTCCTCCTTGCAGGGTGACCGGGAGGAGGTCACAATGGCGAAGAGTGTGGCTGCCCCCGGAGAGGTGCGGGGTGGGGGGGACCCGCGGTAGACCGGGTTAGGGCCTGCGGGGCAGCAGTGGGCACCACCGCCCGGACAGGCCCGACGTCGTGCTGGGTGGTCCCTGTGGAGCAAAAGCACTGTCTCTCTCTATAAAAACAAAAACCCAATGCCCTGAGGTTGGCTGACTCTCCAGCGGGGAATGAGGGACAAGCCCTTGAGTCCCTAACCCTGTGCGTGACAGCTGCCTTCACCGTGGCTGCCCCCCCCCCCCCCCCCCCCCCCCCGCTGGGCACACGGGGACACACAGGGACATGGAAACCTGTTAATACTGCACTGGGGCCAGCTAGGATCGGTTTGGTGATTGTAAGGAGACTTCGGTAAAACTCAGGATGATTTTAAAGGTAAGTAAAAACCACTAAAGAAATAGCACCTAACTAACATGGCTGTCAGGAATGCTCACCCTCAGGTGCTCACGGGCGATGCAATCCTGATTCCTGGGGCTAACGTTGTCCCCTGGAGCTGGGACGCAGATCTGACAGCTTCTGACAGTGAGGCTCATGGCCTGCATTCCTCCTCCTTTGTCGTTTGAAATTCATTTTTTCTTGTTTCTAAACCAAGGTTAAAATCAAAATAAAACTAAGAAAAGAACGAAGGAAGGGAGGGAAGGAGGGAGGAAGGGAGGAGGGGAAGGAGAAAGAAAGAGAGAAAAAAGAAAGAAAAAAGGAAAGAAGAAAGAAGAATGAGAAAGAAAGACAAAGAAAAATCGTAAAATCCATGAGATCCTATTCAATTTAAGATCTGGAACACAAAACTTTCTGTACCTATGAGTCAATTATTCTTCTCACAGCAAAGAATTTCATCCACCAAATTTTTTCTTGCATTTTCTTATGCACAGATGTCTTATTTGCTTTGCTAATGGAGGGAATTCTCTTCTTTTTCTCTGTTCACTTAATAGTAAACTTAATAAAGGAGTCGGATATTATTGCTTTCTGAAATGCAATCGCTAGTTAGTTTTTGCAGTTTAGCATCTGCTACCCAGTAACATTAAAAAACTGAGTTCTTGAGTGTAAGCATCATCAAAAATAAATGAATTTTTTTGCAAAGTAATTTCCTTTGTAAACTCACAAATCTATTGGACCACATGTTTCCATGGCAGCTGTATAGATATCAAACCAAACTTTATTATGCATTCGCCTTTAATTGTCCATGAACAGCTTTCTTCCCTCCTGAAGACACCACCATCACCTGTAGTCTGCGTTGGAAATCGTTTGCAGTAGGTCCCGAGACCACTCGGCCCTTCTTGCCACATCTCTCCTCAGAAGGCAAGAAATCGTGGGGCCAAAGAGATGGCCTTTAGGATTGGCCAACCTTTTAGCAAACCAACCAGTAACACAGCCAGGTGACACAAGTATTAATAATAATAAAAAATGTGTGATTATTTTACCATCAAAATATACACATATATTTGAAATAGATCATCATTAGATTATATATAGATTATATGCTGTAATACTTTTCTGTTATATAAATGCTTTCAAACTTAACAACTGCCTATAACAGTGACAATCATTTGTAATTTACAGTAGGACTTATTAACCAGATAATATGTGATTATTCTCATTTTAATTATCTAAATTTATAGAAAGAGTTCGGAAAACATGATTGCAATACCCACAATGTGAAAAATTAAAATCATGCTGCCTGGACACAGCACAGCGGCGAGTCCACAGGCGGGGCAAGACAGGCTGCGAGCACTCGCAGCCACGGCGCTCTTGGCTGCACACTTGAGTCGGGCCGCTCACAGTGAACGGTGATGGGGTCCCTTTCCTGGGGACTGCAAATCACAGTTGCCAGCACCAGAAACTGGGAACAACAACGAAAATGTCCAGGGAAGATGGATAATGTATGCCATGTTCATTTGACACTAAAGACGGCATCAGCCCGGGCACGGTGGCTCACGCCTGTCATCCTAGCACTCTGGGAGGCCGAGGCGGGCGGATCGCTCGAGGTCAGGAGTTCGAAACCAGCCTGAGCAAGAGCGAGACCCCGTCTCTACTATAAATAGAAAGAAATTAATTGGCCAACTAATATATAGAGAAAAAATTAGCCGGGCATGGTGGCGCATGCCTGTAGTCCCAGCTACTCGGGAGGCTGAGGCAGGAGGATTGCTTGAGCCCAGGAGTTTAAGGTTGCTGTGAGCTAGGCTGATGCCACGGCACTCACTCTAGCCTGGGCAACACAGCGAGACTCTGTCTCAAAAAAAAAGCATCATTTTTTGCCTCTATTTTGGGGGGCTGCCATATAGATTTTGCACTTTTCTTTTAATCTTTTGCTGCGGGAAAAAGAGTGGGGCTGCGGCATCCCGAGGAAGTGCCTCCTGGGACACGGGACCGTCGGTGTGAAAGGCAGGACGGACAGAGGCAAACCAGTGGGGTCACCCCAACCGCCTCCACCCCCAGCACCTTCTTCTATACTGCGCTCTGGATACGTGGAACTCCAGAATCTTTAGCACACATGGTCCCAAGACTGCGTCTGGAGCTGCACAGTCCTGCCTCCCCGGTTTGCTCTTGACTGTGTCGCTGGTGTGTGTCCGCCGGTGAGCGTGTGGGAGGGAGTGGGCGCTCACCGCAGTGTGCATGGCCCTTCTTAGCCAGGTGACCGGGATGTCCGCACGCAGGGCATGCGTGCCCTGGGGGTATGCGACAGAGCAGGGCTGGGGAGACCCACTCTCTTCACGTCCCCGTGTTGCACACGGAATCCTGAGGGGTCTGAGAATTTTCATTTCAACGTGGGCTTCCAGCTCACTAGGAAGGTGAACGCAGCTGCTGCTGAAGAGTTTCCTGGGCGTATCGGTAGTCTTTCAGTATGTGTGGAAATGGTGCACGGGTGTCCCCGGGTGCCCTCCCCTCAGGCCCTGCGAACGCCAGGGGCGGGCACGGCTGCCTGGGTCTTGCTGCAAAGCTTCATCCTTGCTTGTGGGTCGGACCAGCCACCACCAGAGGGCAATAGCGACCTGCAAAGCTAACACCAAGCTCCAAGCGAGGTGTGGATTCCAGACGAATTTCACAGGCCTGGTTTTTACAACTATGGCTATGGAATTTCTTTTTTTTATGTGATGAACGTGTTTTCAAATTGATTAGGGTGATGGTTGCACAACGCTGTGAACATACGGAGAGCCACTGAATTATACACTTTATGTGGATGAATTGTACAATGCATGAGTTATACCTCAATAAAGCTGTTTACAACACATGTATATATCGCTTTCTCCCACAGTGAGGTCAGGAGGGGCTTGAGAAGTTCTCTCACCCGAGGTCCTGCCTCCAGACAGACCCACATGAAATCAATCCGGATGGATGTCTCTAGGTCCAAAAGCAAATGATATTTTCTTCATTGTTAAAAATTAGGCCGGGCGCCGTGGCTCACGCCTGTAATCCTAGCACTCTGGGAGGCCGAGGCGGGCGGATTGCTCAAGGTCAGGAGTTCAAAACCAGCCTGAGCAAGTGCGAGACCCCATCTCTACTAAAAATAGAAGGGAATTAATTGGCCAACTAAAATATATAGAAAAAATTAGCCGGGCATGGTGGCATGCCTGTAGTCCCAGCTACTCGGAGGCTGAGGCAGGAGGATCGCTTGAGCCCAGGAGTTTGAGGTTGCTGTGAGCTAGGCTGACGCCATGGCACTCTAGCCCAGACAACAGAGTGAGACTCTGTCTCAAAATAAAATAAAATAAATAAAATAACAATTAATGGGCCAGATATAAGGGGATAAAAGTATGGATTGTGTGTATTCTTTATATTTTCCTTTATTCAAAACAAAAACGCCAACGTTTGTTGTGGGATTGGGGAGAGTCTCCGTCCTGCCTCGGCATCGGGGTGTGTGTGCATCTCTGCTGTCAGCGAAGCTGAAAGGGAGCCAGCCTATGGAAAGAAGACCAGTAGCAGCGTCGAAATGAGAGATCACATAAGCAGTCAAACAGGAAAAGCCAAATCGCTGCCTTGGGCTTTGAAAGAGATTAGTTGGGGTTCTGTCTAAAAGCAAAGGCAAATAGCATCACTGAAAATGAATCTCTCCCATCCCTCGGGGGAGCCCGCTGCGCGCTGGCCCGTGCAGGCGGGCGGCCGCGTGTGCAGCCCTGTGTCGCTTTTGACTGCAGGGAAGATGTGCGTGGGGCCAGGCTGGCCAAGACAGTGGGATAGCCACCCAATCTGCTCCCTGCCGCCACGCCCAGCCTTCTTCTAAAACACAAAACGAGCATAAGACAGCACCACTTACAGAGTCCTTGGTCGCCTCTTTTGTCCATTCATACCCAGTGATCAATAAGCGTGCCGACCGGAGAGATAGAAGTTGCTGCACGGCGCTGATGAAGACGACACAGCCCCATGTTGCTCCGTGCCCTCTCCCCACACAGCAAACACAGATTGGGGTCAGCGGTTGCAACGCAGGGGTTGCCCGCACAGGTCTGCCCCTAACACTGTCGCTGTCTGTATCGTGTGCCTGGGTACAAATTCCAGCTCCTGCAGGGCTGGTCCGCCCCACAAGCAAGGATGAGGCTTTGCAGCAAGACTCAGGCAGCCGTGCCCGCCCCTGGCATTCGCAGGGCCTGAGGGGAGGGCACCGGGGGACACCCGTGCACCATTTCCACACATACTGAAAGACTACCCATACGCCTAGGAAACTCTTCAGCAGCAGCTGCGCTCACCTTCCTAGTGAGCTGGAAGCCCACGTTGAAATGAAAATTCTCAGACCCCTCAGGATTCCGTGTGCAACACAGGGACGTGAAGAGAGTGGGTCTCCCCAGCCCTGCTCTGTCGCATACCCCCAGGGCACGCATGTCCTGCGTGCGGACATCTGGTCACCTGGCTAAGAAGGGCCATGCACACTGCGGTGAGCGCCCACTCCCTCCCACACACTCACCGGCGGACACACACCAGCGACACACACCAACGACCCCATTCCACACGTGAGTGACTCCGCTGTGTGTCGGTTTAGCGCAGTAACGGTGCTGCTGTCGCAGGGTACGGCGTGAGTCGGGGCAGGCGACGCGTCGTGTCAGTGTCAGTACAGAGCCAGCGGCGTGTGACAGGCGGCTGCGGCTGCCGCCCCCTTCCCCGACAACCGCAGGGAGCGGTGGTTAGACACCAGGCTGCTCAGGCCGGGACGCTTGCCTCCTCCAGTCCCCGGCGCAGAGTCGCGCAGAGTGCCACTCACTTCCGTCCACGCGGGCTTCACCGGGAAGGGGAGTTTGTGATCTACGAACCTCAGAGAGGGGCCTTTGGACAAAGACATTTCTCCTCCTCCTCTTCCTCCTCCTCCTCTTCTTCTTCTTCTTCTTCTCCTCCTTCTTCTCCTTCTTCTTCTTCTTCCTTCTTCTTCCTTCTTCCTTCTTCTTCCTTCTTCTTCCTTCTTCTTCTTCTTCTTCTTCTTCCTTTTTTTTGTGGGAGAGAATAGTGATCATTCTTTGGATCAGACTGAAAATTCTCACCACCTGGGAACGACAGCAGGGGTGCCGAAGGCGTCTCTCTTCTTGTCTCCGAGACGGGTCCCCGGGGCGGTCGGCCAGTTGCCTGCCTGGTGCGTGATAGACCAGGCGTGGAGAGCCTCGGGGGAGGCCGAGCTGTCACCGGGCAGCCTCGCCGGGACACTGAGGGGAAAGGACAGTGCCTCCCGGCACCCACCGGCCGCCCGCGCCCTCCCGGAGTCTTGTGTTCTCATCGTTTCAGGGAAGCGTTTCTCTAACACTGGTTGCTGTCTTGGCCACTGTAGAAAAATTTCTCCAATCCCATTCTTACATTCCAAATGTTATAAAATACTTACGTTTAAAATCAAACTAAACTCATCTTCTTCTTGGATGTTACAACACTCTTTGAGAGAACCAGAGATGCCACAAACTTTGGAAAAATCAGAAGTAGAATTAATAGAGCTAAAACTCCTAGGGATATTGGCAGGGAGGAGCTAGTTTTCTGGGTAAAGAAACCTAATGTCCTGCTGTCAGACAGGATTGAATAAACTGTAAAAGATGGGAAGTTTGGCTTTCACATTTCTTACCTCTTTTTGTGCTGCTGACCCCCCAACTTGATGACATCTCTTCTAACATTCAGGACAATGTTGTATTTTATATAGTCAGAAAAAAAAAATACCAAGGATAGATATTTGTTTCTCTCTCAAATTTTAAAATATCTGTGGGTGAAATAGTGTCTCCATAATGTCATTAATGACTCAAGTTGCTCTCTCTCTCTGCCCTGACATCCACAGGAGGTTTCTTCCACCTTATGGTTTAAGATGGCTGCTGAGGCTCCAGGCTTTACATCTGCCTCCCACATCCTGTGAAGAATAAAGAAAGCAAGCAGACCTTTCCTTTTAAAAGTTACTTCTGAGAAGGAACCTACATATCTGTTGCTTTCAGTTGGCTACATCATAGTCTTATAGTCTTCTTAGCTATAATGGAGACTGGCAAATACAGTCCTTTAATAGACAGCCATGTATGCAGCAAAAAAAAAAAAATAGAATTCTGTTAACAAAAAAGAAAGAAGGGAGTGGATGCATGTTGAGATAGGCAACAAAACCCACTTATATCACATCTTTCTTAAATAGTAGAATTTTCTCAGTGCCCTTCATGTTCCTCCACATTTTCTCAGAAGACAATCTAAAGCTCACACCACTGTATAAGAGATCAATAAAGGATGAAAGTATTAACACTACCTAAGGAATTAGCATTTCAATAGGCTTACAGACTTAGTGTAGTTATTACGCTTTACTAGTAAAATTTCAAGGGAGGGAAGGGAGTAAAAGCAGTGTTTGGCAGGAACAGAGTATGAAATCATGGCATGTACACAACTCACACCTTCTTCACCTTAGGCTGGTCAGTTTGCACTACAAGTTGTAATATTATCTTCAACTTGCAGCTAGGCTGGTACGAAAAAAGTCCTGCCTATGTAAAATAGCTGGTCTCAGACTGGAAGAAATTCTACCTGTTCTCACAGAGTCAAGAGTGAATTACTCAAATGGGTTGCAGCACTCCAGTTTATAGCGGCTCTCAAACCTGAGACCTGCATCAGAATTGCCTGGAGAAATTGATAAAACACAGATTTCTGTGACCACTGTCAGAGCCTCTGATCTCCACAAGGAGAACTACAAAACGCTGATGAAAGAAATTGCGGAGGACACAAACAAATGGGAAAACATCTCTTGCTCACGAATTGGTAGAATCAACATTGTTAAACTGTCCATACTGCCCAAAGTGATATGTAGATTCGATTCAATCCCCATCAAAATACAGACATTGTATTTCACAAATCTAGAAAAAATAATCCTAAACTTAATTTGAAACAAACTAAAAAAGCCTGAATAGCCAAAGCAATCTTATGCAAAAAGAACAAATCTTGAGGCATCACATCACCAACCTTCAAATTATACTCTAAGGCTAGACTAACCAAAACAGCATTTCACTGGTATAATAAAAGGGAGACATAGACCAATGGAACAGAATAGAGACTCCAGGAATAAAACCATTTACCTACAACCAGTTGATCTTCAAAAAAGCAGACAACAATATACACTGGGGAAAAGAAGCCCTAGTCAATAAATGGTGCTGGGAAAATTGGATACCCACATGCAGAAGAATGAAATAGGACCCCTATCTCTCACCGTGTACAAAAATTCATTCAAGATGGATAAAAAACTTGAATGTAAGGCATGAAACCATAATAATTCTAGAAGAAAACCTAGGAAAAACTGATCCAGTAGTTTTTGGGTTCAACCTGAGAATGTTGCTTTTCTAAGTTCCCGGGTGATGTCCTCACAAGCTAAAGTTTGAGAACCACTGGTTTATGGTGTTTTCCTCTTTTCCTTGTTAGCAAGAGCACCATGAGCCACACCTATAATTCATCTCACATTTCACGAAACAGCGTTTTGCTTTCTGGTGGGGAAAAGCTTAAGTTCTTTATGATCTTCTGACTAGGAAGCATAAAGTGCCTAGGGTGCTCTAATGGCCCACATCTCTCTCTCTCTCTCTCCAAAAACATGCAGAAAAATGTCTGCATATATTATACAGAGAAATATTTGTGATCATTCTCTTGCACCATTGAGTGTCAATATCATATTTGAGAAATAGAGAACAAATCCAAGTTTCAGAAAAAAGCAATAGTACTGTTCAGTGATAAGCACGGTGAAAATTCAAGACAGCTTCCTTTCAAGGAAATCTGCCCATATCCACAGCCTCCCTGGCCACGGGGCTGCGTTCCGAACGGTATGGCCCAGGCCTCGGGGGAGCAGGGTCAAGCAGAGGAAAGTAGAAAAGACAGAGAGAAGCACTGCGGTGTGAGATATCCAACTCACGCCACCAGACTGCAGAGGAGGTCCGTGAACAGCCGCCTTGATTCAGAAAAATACGGTTTGAAGATCCCAATTTTGAAAGCCCCATGGAAAGCCCATTTCCTAAACCGGAGCATAAAAGAAACGAAATATTCCCCAACTCTGTCCTGGTGCTTGACCCAGCTACGGGCTCTTTGACCCTGGCAACCTCCGAATGGAATCCCGCCGTGTGTGACCTTCTGAGAGTGACTCCCTCGCTCAGCACAGTGCCCTTGAGGCCCAACCAAGTTGTTGATGTGTCAGTGGTTCACTTCTTCTGACTGCTGAGTAGTAAGGTGTAATCCACCAGCTACCAGGGCGCACTGACTGCGGGTGATTTCTGGCTGTTACAAATAAAGCTGCTAGGGAAAATTGCAGGCAAGTGGGAGACCAAGGGGAGAATTCCTCCTTCAAGACCTCAGTGGATTGGGTAATGCCCACTCACCTGGGGAGAACAAGCTACTGAGTCTACCAATTCAAATGCTAATCTCACCGAAATACCCTCACAGACACTCGCACAAATAATGTAAAAAATACGGACACCTTGGCCGGGTGCGGCGGCTCACGCCTGTGATCCTAGCACTCTGGGAGGCCGAAGCGGGCGGATTGCTCAAGGTCAGGAGTTCGAAACCAGCCTGAGCAAGAGTGAGACCCCGTCTCTACTATAAATAGAAAGAAACTAATTGGCCAACTAATATATATAGAAAAAATCAGCCGGGCATGGTGGCGCATGCCTGTAGTCCCAGCTACTCGGGAGGCTGAGGCAGGAGGATCGCTTGAGCCCAGGAGTGTGAGGTTGCTGTGAGCTAGGCTGACGCCACAGCACTCACTCTAGCCTGCGCAACAAAGCGAGACTCTGTCTCAAAAAAAAAAAGGAAAGAAAAATAATAAAAAATACGGACACCCCATAGCCAGTCAAGCTGACATATAAAATGAACCATCAGTCTTATGCCATTATGAATAACGTTTGCCATAGGTTTTCATAGTTTTTTTTTTTTATCAAGTTGAGGAAGTTCTCCATATTCCTAGTTTTCTGAGAGTTTTCATCATAAATAGGTATTAAGTTTTGTCAAATCTTCCTGTGCAACAATTTATGCAGTCATAGCTTTTCTTCTTTCATCTATTAATATGGTGGATCACACGGATTCGTTTTCAAATACGGAACCAGCCTCACACCTCTGCTAGGTCAAGGAGGGGACTTACGTCTGTATAGTGCTAAGTTCTGTCTGATAAGTATTTTGTTGAGATTTTTTGCAGCCATATCTATAAAGGATATATTGGTCTATAGTTTGGAGGCTTTGTATTTGTTTTTATTTGTACTATCTCTGGTTTTGGTTACAGGTATTAACTGTAACAGGTATTACAGTATTAACTGGCTTCATAAAATAAGTAAACAATTAAGTAGTGCTCCCTCTTCTATTTTCCTAGAACAGATTGTGTAGAGTTTGGGCTAATTCTTTTGTAAATGTTTGGTAGGGTTTTTTAGTAAAACCATCTGGGCCTGGAGATTTATTTGGGAGGTTTTGTTTTGTTTTGTTTTAGTAACTGTTGGGGCTCAGAAAATGATACAACAGAACATGGTGCTTTGAAATACTGAACCGAGGAAGCAGCCTCAAGTTCTCTCTGACCTTTCCCCTCCCGAATTTTCTCCTAGAGACTTGTCTCTCCCATAGCACTGGATGAGGCTGTTCTCTGAATTTCCCTTGCCCTCCTAGAAAAAACCAGACCCACCAAAGAGGAACACAACTGCCTTTGATCGTCCCCCTGAAATTTCATCAACCAGAGGAGATTGAATCTCGTGTCACAGAGAAAGAGACTGAAAATTAAGCACCACACCTGGAACTCAAACGTTGTCCCTAACCAATGTTTATTCTCAGGTCCCATTCAGTTTTCAGAGAGAATTATTTACTAACCATTGTCTGAGCGTTGGGCTCGTTCGTTCCCTCTAAAAATAACTTACTGACCCTCGAAATGACCACATTTCTCCCGGGGGCTGACAAGCATCTGGAGCTCATTGGGTTACTGGGAAATCACCCTGTGATCGCCCAGTACTTATGCAATTAAATACACGTGTATGCTCTTTTATCCTCCTAATCTGCCCATTGTCAGCTCATTTGCAGTCAACAGTTAAAGGGCAGAGGGGAAGCTTTCCCTTGGCCCCCAAATAACAATTTAATTTTCTTAATAGTTATAGGAACATTAAATTGTCCTTTTCATATTGGGTGAGTTGTGGTGCTTTATGCTTTTCGAGAAATTGGCCCATCTCATCTAAATCGTCAAATTTATGTGTGTGAAGTTTTGTGGTATTCCTATATTATCCTCTTGATACCTGAAAGGTCTGTAGCAGTAGCCTCTGTTTTATTCAGTTATTAGCACTTTGTATCTACTCTTTTGTACAAAGTCTTGCCAGAATTAAAAAAAAAAATTATGATCTTTTTAAAGAATGAGTTTTTATTTTATATGTTTTCTGTTTTCAATTTCAATGATATTGCTCTTATGTTTATTATTTCCTTCCTTCTGCTCATTTGGGTAAGTACTGCTATTCTCTTTTTAGTTCATAGAGATGGGAGCTTAGATTATTAATTTGAGACTTTTTCTCTTTTTCTAATGTGAGCAGTTAGTGCTATAAATTGCCCTTTAATCACTGCTTTAGCTATATCCCACACATTTTACTATCTTGGACTTTTATTTTCAATAAGTTCAATATTTTTTGTTTGGTTTCTCTTAAGACTTCCTTCTTGATGCATGGATTATTTAGAAAGTGTTGTTTAATTTCCAAGTGTTTGGATATTTTCCTCTTGTCTTTCTGTTATTGATTTCTTGTTTTATTTCATTGCATTCAGAGAACACATCCATATGATTTCAACTATTTTAAATTCATTGAGGGTTGAGGTTTATGTACAGCCCAAGATATAGTCCATCTTGGGACATGTTCTGTGAGTGCTTGAAAGAATGTTTATTAGGCTGTTTTA